CTGGCCCTGCTCTGGCACGCTGGCTTGCCCACGGGCACCTTGACCCCAGGGCCAGGCTCTGGGTCATGCCCATGGTGGTACTGAACTGTGGCAGTGCCAGGGCCACCACTTGGCAAGTACTCCCTGTGCCATGGCCTCTGGCACCTATGGAGAGATGCCCACAGCTCTCAGGCAGCGTGTCCCCAGCCCCTGCCCTGCTGTCCCCTGCCAACTCTGGGCCTCATGCAGGGTGGCACTGGGCAAACACGGGGTGCAGAAGCTGAGATAGGGCAGGTACTTGGGAGCAGGTACTGGGGGTGTTTAACAGAGGGAATGCCAGTGGGGGACATGCTGTTCCCCACACCCTACCGTGCCCCACACCCTGCTGTGCCCCACAGGGACAGGGTCTGTGCCCAGGAGGATGTCCAGGGCAGGCAGGGAGTGGTGAGGGTGCAGCCCTGCGGGAATGCACCCCTTGTCTCCCCTGTTCCCAGGGCTTAGCACCCCACCTGCTCACCATGGGAGGAGACTGGGGGGGGGACACTGAGAGGGTTGGGCAGCACTGCCGGCAGCACTGCCAGGAGCGTTTCCTCCCGCCCGGGAGGAAGGTGTGCACCGGCAGTGGAAACACAGAGTCTTTTCCTGAGAGGGGAGAGATGAGCTGGCAGCAGCAGCAATCACCGGTGTCCTGGGGAGGGCTGGGGATGTCCCCCAGCTTGAGGGTGGTTCCTGGTCATTCCTGAGCACTCAGTACCACAGATGATGGTCACTCCTGCTCATCCTCACCAGGGAGGTCTGTGTGGGTCCCATTCTTCCTTCAACCCCCCAGCCCCAAGCCCAGTACCGCCTGGAGCAGTCAGGGGGCCAGCCAGCTGAGCCAAGTGGGCAGGAGGCTTCCTGCCTGCCTTCCTCCCCTTCTTCCTCCTCCTCCACGATGCTCCAGGCATGGCAGGTCAAGCAGCAAAGACGCATGGAGGGCAGGACCTGGCTCCTGGTGGATGGCCCCAGGGCTGACAGGGATATGGCCAGGGGACTTGGCAGTGCCAGCTGCAGTCCCCGCTGTCTGGCAGCCCCATAGCCAGAGGGAGATGCCAGTAGAAATCTTGCCAGGGCTGGGACAGTGGCCACAGAACGAAGCAGGCATGTTGCAAAGCCCACAGCAAGGTGGTCAGTGGGGGGGGGCTGGAGGCTGTGGGATGGGGTGGCATCATGTCCCACAATGCCCCATGGCCAAAATCCCATGGTTGGAGGACTGGAGCTCATGGTGGGCCTGCTGGCTGCTGGGCTCCCCATGGGGCTCTCCTGGTGATGCCAGGGCTTGTGGCTGCTTGACCATGGCAGCGACAGATGTGCTGCCTGGTACTGGTACCACTTCACTGCCTCCCTTCCCGCCAGCTGTGAGCAAACGGCCCCTCTGCCCCCCGCGGGGCACAGGCAGCCCCCGGCTGGCGGGACCCCCCTGCCCTGTTTTCCTTCACCATTTGTCTGCCTGTGCAGAGCCTGTAAATCACACAGTGAGGGTAGCAGAGAGCCAAGCTGGGGGTCCTGCTGGGGTCATGCAGGGCTGCACCAGGGAACAGGGTTCCCATTAGGGTTGGGGACATACGGGGCTGTGCGAAGGGCCAGGGATCTTGCTGGAGCTGGGGTCATGGAGGGGTCTGCTCTGTGTCCACACTGACACCTTTCACCATGCATGAAGGACACTGACCCTCTTCTGTAGGCCCCGCCCAGGCACAGAGCCCTGTAAAAGGGCATGTACAGGCAGTGCCAGGGGCAGAGGGGGGGATGGGCAAGCCCCTGGCATGACAGGCACGGAGCAGGCAGGTGCCTGTGCAGAGAGGGGAATCTCTGCTCTGCCCCCTCCTACCCCCACATCCTGCTAGGCTGTGCTGGGGGGGCCACAGCCGCCCCTGGCCCTGACAGGCAGCAAGACGGATGGCAGGGGCTGTGTACTCAGCTGCACACCCCACACATGGCCACCAGCTGACACAGACAGGCTGGGGTGGGGGGTGTCACCCAGTCCCTGCTCTCAGCCGAGCTGCCCCGGGGCTTTTCTGGGGGGCACAGCCGTGTGTGGGGTGCTGGTGGCCTGTGCTGCTGCGCTGGGATCTGGGACATGGTGGGGCACAGGCAGGGAAGGAGCAGCAGGCACTGGAGATGGCTCAGCGAGGGGCAGGGGTTGCACACGCGTGCGTGTGTGTGGGTGAGCAGCTGTGCACATCTGTGCATCCAGGCGTGTGTGGGCACGTGTGCATGATGTGTATAATTGTGCGTGTCTGTGCGTGGATATACATGACTATGAGGGTGTGTGCACGTGTTTGCAGAGTGTCACACACGTGTGTACATGTGCGTGAGGATGCGTGTGCAGGGTGCCATGTAGACCCCGAGTGCCACCACCTCCTGCTGCAATGATCTCCCCAGGTTGGCACACGCGTGTGACCACCACCTCACCAGACCCTACACACAGGGGGATGGATGGACAGAAGGAGCTGTCAGCCCTGGCTGAGAGACCAACAGGAGCCATGGGGAGCAGGGAATGCTACCCGCTCCCTGCCTGTCCAGCTGCCCGCGAATGCTGCATGGAGGATGCATAGCAGCAGCCGTGTTTTCCTGTGCTGCCTGGCAGGCATGTGGTACAGGACGTGCATCCCCATGCCTGGATCCCCTTGGCCCCCCCAGCACTACAGCCTCAGCTCTGACTCAGCCAGGCAGCACGAGGCTCAGCCGAGGCTGCGGAATCACAAACCTTCCGCCGGCTTGAGCGGGTGCCAGGACACGGCGGGGTTTGGCATTGCAGCGCTCCTGGCTGATCCAGCCAAACAAGCTGACCCCCGGGCAGAGGGTAGCATTGGGCAGTGGGTCAGGCATGCACAGGATCATGTGTGGGACATATGCCATGGATGGGGCATGGCCCAAGCATGGGGTTGCAACCCTGACCCCAGTCCAACCAGGCCCTCCCAAGCTGGGGGGCATCAAGGGGTTGGGGTGCTGGGCACCCCAAGGGCTGGGTCCTGCCTCCACTGCCAGAAAAATGCCCCCTGCCCCCACTCCAGGGAGTGTTTATCTTTGAGGTGATACTTAAGTGTAAGAAAATAAACAGGGAGCAGATGGGCCAGGGGCCAGGGCTGCCCCCAGCCCTGTGGGGCCACTCTGGGCCTGCTGGGAAAACACCACGA